TCGTATTGCTCCAACCTGCTTCTATGGTCTCATTCCCTTCCCTGACTCTCCTGATTCTTCCTCATTTAAGAATCCTTGTGACTACATTGAGCACAGCCAGATAATCCAGGATCATTTCCCTATTTTAGGTCAGCAGATTAGCATTCCTATTTTAATTTATTTTTTAGAGATGGGGGTCTCACTATGTTGCCCAGGCTGGTCTCGAACTCCTGGGCTCAAGTGATCCTCCCACCTCAGCCTTCCAAATTCTGAAATTATGAGCATGAGCTACTGTACCTGGCCAGATTAGCATTCCTAATTCCATCTTGGACTCCGTTTCCCCCTTACCTCGTATTGTAATATATCGGCAAGCTTTGGGAATGAGGATGTGAACATGTTTCACATGTTTCAGAATAATGGGGGCCGTTATTCTGCCGACCATAGCTACCTAAGTTAAACACAAGATTTTAAGGTCTTATAACTACTCATTACAGTGAATTTCATTTTTTGCTCATCACTGTATCTCTACCCTCTAGCACTTTGCTCAAATAAATGCCTAATGCAGGGTTGGCCGGTGGGAGCTACATGGTGATTGTGACAATATTTTCTTTCTTTTTTTTTTTTTTTGCCATTTTCTTTTTGGTGTATTGTCTGTTTTTACATTTCCTTTTAACTTGTAGGTTTGTGGTGCATGTGAAGGTTTGTTACACAGGTAAACCTGTGTCATGGAGGGTGCCCTGCAGGCTCATCACCCAGGTGTTAAGCCCAGGACCCAATAGTCATTTTTTTCTGCTCTCCTCCCTCCTCCCACTCTCCACCGTCAAGTAGACCCCGCTTCTATTGTTTTCTTCTTTGTGTTTGTTCATACGTTCTTATCATTTAGCCCTACCTATAAGCAAGAACATGCAGTATTTGGTTTTCTGTTTCTCTGCTAGTTTGCTGAGGACACTAGCCACCAGCTCCATCCACATTTCCACAAAAGACATGATCTCATGCTTTCTATGGCTGCCTGGTATTTATTTGTATATATGCATCACATTTTATTTCTCCATCTGCCGCTGATGGGCATTTATGCTGATTCCATGTCTTTGCAATTGTGAACAGTGCTGCATTGAACATTTGCATGCCTGTGTCTTTATGGTATATTCCTCTGGGTATATACCCAGTAATGGGATTGCTGGGTCGATGGTAGTTCTGCTTTTAGCTCTTTGAAGAATAACACTTCATGAATTTTCATGTCATCCTTGTGTGGGGGTCATACTTCTCTGTATCTTTCCAGTTTTAGTATATGTGCTCTCAAAGAGAGCTCGTAATAGCATTTTCTTTTTTTCCTTTTTTTTTTTTTTTTTTTTGAGACAGGGTCTTGCTCAGTTGCCCAGGCTGTAGTGCAATGGTGCAATCACAGCTCACTGTAACCTTAAACTTTTGGGCTCAAGAAATCTGCCTCAGGTTCCAACGTAGCAGGGACTACAGACACTCACCATCATGCTCAGCTAATTTTTTTTTATTATTATTCTTTTTGTAGAGACAGGGTCTTGCTATGTTGACTGCCTAGTCTTGAACTCCTGGCCCCAAGTGATCCTCTGGCCTTGGCCTCCCAAAGTGTTGGATTACATGTATGAGCCACTGTGCATGACTACAATAAGAAATCAAATAAAATAGTGAATACACAGTTTATTTCCTTAGACTCCCTTTCTCCTCATTTCTCAGTTTAGTGGACTCTGCAAAGCTCCTTAAGTCTCTGGCAGGCTGCCTTGCTGTCTCCTGCAGTATCACATGCAGAAGTCAGATAAGCCTGACTATCAACCCTACCTCCCCCACCTCTTTTTATTTTTTTTCCCCAAGACAGAGTCTTGCTCTGTTGCCCAGGCTGGAGTGCAGTGGTGCAATCTCAGCTCACTGCAACCTCTGCCTCACAGGTTCAAGTGATTCTCCTGCCTCAGCCTCCCGAGTAGCTGGGATTATAGGCACACACCACCACGCCCGACTAATTTTTGTATTCTTAGCAGAGACGAGGTTTCACCATGTTAGCCAGGTTGGTCTTGAACTCTTGACCTCATGATCTGCCTGCCTCAGCCTCCCAAAGTGCTGGGATTACAGGTGTGGGCCACCGTGCCTGCCTCCCCACCACCTCTTACATGCATAATCTTGAGCAATAACTTTGCCTTTGTCAGTCTCCATTTTCTCATCCCCAGTATGGGAAAAATAATAAGTTGAGATTGTTATGTCCTTTCCCTGGACAGTATAGTATTCATCTTTTTTTTAAGAAGGAGTCTCACTCTGTTGCCCAGGCTGGAGTGCAATGGCACGATCTCAGCTCACTGCAACCTCCACCTCCCGGGTTCAAGCCATTCTCCTGTCTCAGCCTCCCAAGTACCTGGGATTACAAGTGTCCACCACCATGCCAGGCTAATTTTTTGCATTTTTAGTACAGAGGAGGTTTCACCATGTTGGCCAGGATGGTTTTGAACTTCTGAACTCAAGTGATCTGCCTGCCTCCCAAAGTGCTAGGATTGGGGGTGTGAGCCACCACACCCAGCCTCTTTTTATTCTCAGACTCTAGAACAATCACTTGTGGACAGGCTCTGGAAGTGCTGATTGAATTAAAAAAGTGTCCAATATTAGCGTTGGGAGCATCCAGGAATTTGAGAGTTAGGTGTGAAAATGAGAAGAAAATTAACACCAGCTCCACATAGAAAGTTCTGGGTCACCAAAGAAATGAGTGACAGCATGTCACGAGGCACTGCGAGGGGTTGGCTGCCCCTGGATGAGTGTCCAAACCCATGTTGCCCCCAAAACACCCACACAGTCTCCACTGATAGAGAGCTTACGTATCTCTGACTGTGACCATTTCTTAAGGTTAGTGTTGTGGATGCTGTCAACTCCTGAAGCCTGGGCTTTCGGAGCCCATTAAGGAGAGATGCACAGGGCACTCTTCATTTCAGACTACAGAAAGCACTTTTCCATTGTGGGGGCAAGCAGGGTCACTACTGTGGTGGCTTTTGACCCAAAGCACAGACCCTTTCTCACCAGCCCAGACATTCCCCAGGGAACACAGCATTTTCTACAGTGAACTAATAGATCAAAGCCCACACAGTTCACTCTTCCGCTGTGAAGCACAGGAACTCGCCAGTGTTCCATCAGACGTTTTTCTGCCTAAGTGGTTTGAGGTCTTGCAGAACGCCACTGATTACTTTAATGGAGAAGACTAGACTAATGTCACATATCACTTAATGGATATTAAATAATTTTTTCATTTCATTTTGCAAAGATTTAAAAATAGATCCTGTGACTTTCTTCTTCACGAAAGCAATATACAGCTATCATAAAAACTTTCATTTTTTAAAAAAACATTTTAGAAATAATATCCAGCTGGGCATGGTAGCTCATGCCTTTAATCCCAGCAATTTGGGAGGCCAAGGTGGGTGGGTCACCTGAGGTCAGGAGTTCGAGGCCAGGCTGCCAACATGGTGAAACCCATCTCTACTAAAAATACAAAAATTAGCTGGGTGTGATGGTGGGTGCCTGTAGTTCCATTTACTGGGGAGGCTGAGACAGGAGAATTGCTTGAACCCAGTCGAAGGAGGTTGCAGTTAGCCGAGATCACACCACTGCACTCCAGCCTAGGCGACAGAGTGAGACTGTCTCAAAAAAAAAAAAGAAAAAAAAGAAAAGAAAAAAGAAAACAAGAAAAGAAAAAGAAGAATCCCAACTACTATCTAGAAGTAACCAGTATTAGAGTTTTGTGTGTAATCTTTTGCTTCTGCACCAAGATGTTTATTTTAATGTAACAAAACTAAGATCACAAGGCATGTATTTCCTTTTAGTTTCTGATAAACACTATGACATGAATATTTTTTCTTTTTAAAAATTATATTTATTTATTTATTTATTTTGAGATGGAGTCTCCCTCTGTCACCCAGGCTGGAGTGCATGGCATAATCTCAGTTCACTGCAACCTCTGCCCCTGGGTTCAAGCGATTCTCTTGCCTTAGGCTCCCGAGTAGCTGGGATTACAGGTGCCTGTCACTGTGCCTGGCAATTTTTTTTTT